ATAGATAGATAGATAGATAGATAGATAGATAGATAGATAGATAGATATTTTTAAAAATAAAGGACTATGACTCAAAATACTACCCATACGATCAAATTTTAATGATATCAGTATCTAATCTGGAAGTGAAAGACAAAGCCATGACCAGAATCCTTCAGGGACTTGTACCCTCCTGTTCCTACCATACTGAGATACAGCATGTTTTCCACTAAGGCTATAACTAAAGCTCAGAATTCTGGAATAAGCAGTTTCGTATCTCCCAACTGGACAGTAGCTTCTATTTCTAGTCTTCTTGTTTGTCTGTGCATTATTTATATGTTTATGTTTCTATCAAACAGTGTCCCCTTAGCCTATTTGACAAACACAAACCAAGAATCATTTACCTGGTTGTGAGGTGGCTGTGAAGAAATCATTTCAGGAAACCAGTTCTTTGATACATTAGCCACCTAGAGGTAAGTTACATCTGTTAAAGACAAAGCAGAGCCCCACAGTTAAGAAATTTATCTCCAACCAGCCCTCTTTTGTGAAATTTAGTTAGAAAGTAATTATTCTTTTCCTTTTTTTATTAGCGAAAAGCAAATTCAAACACAGAAATTCTTAGTTTAACTTGAAAAAAAAAAAAACTGAAACGGTTCTTAAGTTCCGTCTGATGCATAAAGGGGTAGAAGCAAAGGAATTCCATTCCAAAGCCAAGAAAGAGGGGTGGACAAAAGCTTCCGAGCCACTTGACATAGTTCATAGCCTTTTCCAAAGGAATAAAAGTCTGTTGAGCAGGGAACCAAAAGATCTCATTATAGGATGAAGCCAAGCCATATTAAAGCTTGTGCACTAGTAACTATGTCTAAAAACAGCCTGCTGTTTTATATTGAACCAATCCATTTCTTAACTTGGTAGGTTGCAGAGTAAAGATGTACAGAGCCTGTCTGCTGGATGCTATGCCAATTACAGATGTGGCTGAGTTGTGTCGAACGCCTACAAACAGGACTGAAAGCAGGCTTGGAGTGAAACAAAAGAGGTTTTGAAATCTCACCTCCAAAACCTGGAAAGCACAGTTCATCATGTGTCTGACTGTTAAGAGTTTTAAAATCTCCTTTATTATATAATTTAATGTGGCCGTCATATGATCCCTCAATCAGAGTGCACAGTTCTTTCAAGGACATGAATAGTGCCCGAGAGATACAGAGAATATCTTAGAAGTAGCACTTTCAGGTGACAAGTCATCTCTGATCAGCTCTGCAGAAAGTATGTTTTATCGGCATTAGGGTAAGGGACAAGTGAAATACCCGGGAATACTCATTACCTTAGATTTTGTTAGATCATCAGAAAGAATAATTGGGCATATTGACAGAATTACATTTTAGTAAACTGTTATGCTAGTTTAACTATATAATACACATTCTGGTAAATGTATATTAACTTGCAATCCCAAAGCAATTTAGCTGCTGGGGACATTATTTCTTTTTTATCTAATTATTCACAAATTAATGAATAAAATTAAATTCCAATCACTGAGGAAAAGGAAGCAACGGGGAGAAAGACACACAGATGACTTAAAGGGAAGATCCGCCATGCATTTCTTTTTATTCAGACTTGGTGCTTAAAAAAGAACAAATCCATCATCTTGGAATTTGACTTGTAGCTTGACATTCAAAATAATCTGAGTAGAATTTCAGTGAGGTAAGCACAAAACTAGTTCAAGTTGTGTCACTCCCAATTACTGTACTCAGGTGGTGTACCCATTAAAATTCCCACTTGTGGGTTCCGCTCACTATGCAAATGGGGTCATTACCTGGAGAATTTAATTGGTTATGACACTCGGAGTAGGACGTTTCCTTTCAAAATAAACCCACTTAAACATATTTTCACTAAAAATTTGATTGCTATATAGACTTCAGATTATTTTGCTTTATAAATATTTACTAAAGCTAGACTCTCCTTATTTATTCATTACAAATAATTCAAGCTGGGCCTAAATTACTTTGATGTAGCTTTATTTATTGGTCTGCAAGGTGAATTGGAAAGAATCATTATATGTGAGTATCTTTCAGCACAGGTATGTTCATCATGTGAATATATCATTCTCTCACAGTAATTCAATCTGCTTAATTTGAAAGGCTCATTACTTTTCTCCATGTGACACTTTAAAAGATTGTACAGTTGAATATTAACTTGTCCTCTTCGGTGAATTTGTAAACATACAAACACATAGCCACAATATTGCTGAAGCCAGATGTCTGTAGTACTTATCAAATCTTTATATTTACTGATAGAACAGAATGAGGACATTAAGTTGTTTGACACAGTCAGCCTCAGAGACATATCCATTCATTATAAGCTATAAGACTCCTGAATACAGAGTGGATAAACAACGAATTGCTGTAGAAGGCTCAGGGCTGTGTATACACCAAGGGGTTTTCATTGATTCAAGAGATTCTTATCAGAGGAACCTCACTATCTAACAAGAATAGTGATAACGCCTGAATTTACATTGAACCCTGGGATCACCCTGTAGTTTAGTGAATGGAATATTGAACTGAGTATCCTGGAACTTAGATCCTGGACTCTGACTTGATAGCATTTCCTGGAGTGAAATGGAAGTTGGAACAGAATTTCTGTGTTTATGAGATAATTTTAGGAAAGCACTAACAATCTCTCTATGCAGTCTAAATTTGTATTATTAGACCAAGTTGTATATCTGCCAAAGACTATCACCAGTTTATATAGATATAAAGAAAATAAGTTTATTTTATTGGAAGAAGAGAATTCTAAAACCACAGGGGGCAGAAAAACAAACTTCAAGGCTATAAAAGGGTGAATACCTCAAATTCAGAGCTGGACTGTTGGGCAGGATTTTTAACATCTGTAACGATGGGAAATTTCCCATAGAATATCAAATATGGATCCAAGTCTCTAACACTCATTTTCTATGATATTTCTAATTGTGCCCGGAGGATAAGAAGGAGTTGGCGCATCCAATAAATATAATCATTTACATGCACGGAACTCCCTTTGAAGTTA